ATATATTTCACGTGCATGCGAGAACCTTCTTCTCATTTTCCGGTCGAAAGTTTCTTTACCAATGAACAACCACCACCGTGTATAGAGGAAACGAGTAAAAAACTTGACTCTCGACTTTACGCCTTTTTGTAATTTGCTCTTTCGCAACTCACCGTGCGGAAGAATGTTGCGGAAAGAGAAAAGAAACATGTTATAAATTTATACATGAACATTTTCATATTTAAAATAAATTTTTTTTTCCTTCCGTTTATTTTTCCTGATGTATATACACGCTCATAAATAGAGAAAGAAACTCTCGGTGACATTTTAATTTTAGGATTTAAAAAAAAAAAATTTAGAAAAAAAATATCGCAGAGCTAAATAAATAATATTTGTTTTAAAGAAATTTTTAATTTGATACAAATTTATTTACGCCAATAACAATGTAAAAAAAAAAAAAAAATGTGGGGAAAATTTTTTTCAGTATTTTAATTTTAAAGTTGATGGAAAAATGAATAATATATAATAATAATATATTTGAAAATTAAAAAAAAATTTCCGTGAAAAAATAACATTTTCGCTTTTTGAAGCGGAAATAACAAGTTGAACGTCATTTATTCTGAAAATAGTATCGGACATTGTGTTGTACATTTGACATGCAAAGAGCCAGAATTTTTTTTCATTTATTAAGAATTGAATGGAAAACCATTTCGAATTTTCGATCCAGAAAAAGTGAAAGAGAAGTTTTAGAGAAAGCAAAGTTTGATATAGAATGGGAAGGAATCAATAAAAGAATATTACTCTTTATGTTGTTAGTTATAGAAGAAAGTTTCGAATCCATTAAAATTCAAACTGAATTTTTATTCGTTATATTTTTATTTAAAATACTTAACTGTTTTTTTCTTCATAATATTTCAAGTTTACTTTTGAATATTGTTAGTTATATTATTTTCTTTTTTAATTAAATTAATCAAAAATTATTTTTCCTTTTTTTAAATCTAATTTACAATTACTTGTTTAATTAATTTGAGTAATTAAATTTATAAGGATTATTAATTGGATACTAGTTGGATTATTAGTTGGTACAATGTGTAATTTTTAATGGGAGCTGATAGATTTTTTACAAAAGAGTGAATAGTGACTGATAAATGTTTGTTTGTTGAACTAGGCGGAGGAATAATGCGTATATATATACAGGAAAGTGCAAACAGAAAAAAAAATACAATTGAAACTCTCCATAGGCGAGTTAACACGGTCCAAACGAATTACCGTCGGTTTTCGACCAAGCGGTCAGACATCGCTTCCGTTTTCCAATCTATTCATATATAGTCCAATGCCAAAACATTGGCAAATAACAGGTCATCCCCTATATATATATATATGTGTGTATATGAAAAAGAGAAAAGATGTGGGTGGGAAAAAAAAATTTATGGAACAATTTTCTTTCACTTCGCGCAATACATAAGCGCGCCAACGTAATTAAAAAAATATTCACCAAGATTCATTAGAAAGAACTGCTAGAGGATAATCAGTCACAGCTGCGAGAAATGATCTTTATACTTGGTATTTCATTCGCGAGAAACTCATAACATAAAACAAGTTAAAACATGGAGCAGAATTTTTTAATTAAATATCAATTTTTTTTCACACTGTGATTTGGAATATTTATTGCTATTGAATTTTTATTTAGATACATTTTCATTTAACTGAATTTTCATTTAGCCAAATTGTCATATAACTAAATTTTTGTTTCGTTCAATTTTTCACTTAACCAAATTTTTATTTAACTGAATTTTTATTTAACCGAATTCGCATTTAGCCAAATTTTCATATAACTGAATTTTCATTTGGCCAAGTTTTTTTTTTATTTAACTGAATTCGCATTTAGCCAAATTTTCATATAACTGAATTTGTACTTAACTAAATTTTAATTTAGCCAAACTTTCATATAACTAAATTTTTATTTAACTGAATTTTTATATAACTTAATTTTCATATAACTGAATTGGCATTTATTTGAATATTTATTTAATTGAATTTTCATTTAGCCAAGTTTTAATGTAACTGAATTTACATTTACGTGAATTGTCATATAACTGAATTTTTATTAAGCCAAATTTATATTTAGCTGAATTATTTTTTTTTAATTTTCCACTGAATTTTCATTAAACCTAATTCACCAAAATTTCCACGTGTCAAATTCTCTAATTTATTGAATTTTCATTTAGAAGAAATTTAATTTAGCCAAATTTTAGATAGTTTTGGTATTTAAAATATTCGAAACAAATTAATAGTGATTAAAAATTTGTTTTGAATGAAACGAGAAAAGATGAAAAAAAAAGAGAGTTGTAATAAAAGAAAAATTGCTGATTGTCGAGAACGTATATTCGAATGAAACCTTAGTGTAGCGGATTGTATCATCAGGTTGAATGAATGAGTGAGCAGATTCGTGTTCTATGCAATGTCCATTGCATAGAGAGATCCATGAATACGTAAACGATCGTTGAGTAGGTCTGGTGACCCAAGAGCTAACCTGAAACCACTCTCTCTCTCTCTCTCTCTCTCTCTTTCGCTCTCAATGGCAAATTCACACGAAAATGTTTGCAATATAAATTAGAGTTGTGTGGTAGAAATTATTTTTTATGACACTACTTTTGAAAAGTTAATACAATTTTTTTTTTATTGTGTCTACAAAAAAATACAAAACAAAGACGGTAATATTTTTTTAAAAAATTTACTTTTTCGTTTTTTTATAAAAAAAAATATATATATATTTTTTGTAAAAATATGGAAAATAATATTTAAAGTTTAATATAGAAAATATTCTGATTGAAGGAGAGAAAAAAAAATAGGGGAATATTATGACGTGACGTTTTAATGAAAGAACTTAGTGAATGCTTTTCTCCACACTCTTTTTTAATGAAAAATTTCTCCTTCTGTTCCCGCATTTTCGATAAAACTCCCGTGACCAACTGGTTTTTAATGACTCCTATATATATATATATATATATATAGGAGTAAATTAAGTTTGCATAGTCTGTTCTTTCGAACATCATTAGCGTTGAATTTCAAGTGTAAAATGCGCAGACTGCTTTTTATCTTTTATTGATTTTCATATATGCTTAAATTTTTAATTATACACGCGATCATTATTTTATACGTATACGTGACGGTGCGGTAAAATTTCACAAATAAAATTTAATTGAGTGGGGAAAATATAAATAGCAGTCTTTGTTATAATAATATGATAACATTTAAATAATGATATATTTTAATAATATTTTTTGTTTTTTTATTATAGAAAGTTTTTTTTATATTATAAATATAATATTTTTTACAGCATATTGAATATATATATATATATATATATAATAAAGTTATTTGTTAATTTGTGATATGTATAATTAAAATTTTCTGCAAATAACAATATTTGTATATACATTGTCGAATGACGATTTGCAATATTAATAGAGAGGAGAATATTGAATTTTAATTAGTTTTCTTGTGAACTCGTTTTCCGCGAGAGAGTCATATTAATCATATTTAAAAATAGCTATTACAATTTAATTATGAATTTTAATGTTTGTTTTACGAACATTATATATATAAAGTCAATATTAATTATTTTTACAAAATTTTTACTTCATTTTAATTATAATTAGCATTATTACTAAGTATAAATTATTAAATAAATGAATAAATATGATAATAAAAAAATAGTTTAATGAAATTTATAAAATAAATAATAAATAAAAATAAAATGAAATAATAATAATAATGTAAAAAATATTTTTAATAATTACTAATTAAAAATTTCTAAATGGTTTTTTAAATATTTATTATTATTATTATTATTATTATTATTATAAATTTTATTAAATAGTCAAGAGTTACTATGAGAAAGGAAAATATGTTTTTATTGCGGAATCTAAAAATTGTCCTGAAATATTATATATTTGAATTATATACTTTAGTTACTATGGTTTCTTTCGTAATATATATATATATATATATATATATATATATATACATGTAACTTGAAATGCGAGAGAGAGAAGCATATGCGAAAATGAAATTTTACAACCCTTTATCTCTGTAGAAAAATTTTTCTCTCAGTGTCGTCGTCTTATCCGCGGCGAAAGAGATATCCTACTTTCTGTGATAAATAACTTCATTACTTACCAGCTCACGAAGATCTCTTTTCTTGAGTGTATTATCTTTACGCAAATCAAATTGCCCCTAAAAACGGCTGCTTGCATAAAATAGCAATTTTTCGAATAGTTCCTTGAAAAATCCGCAAAAATTACTTTATATATATATATATATATATATATATATATATATATATATATATATATATATATGTATTTAATTTAAAAATATTCTTTTCGATATTTGATACATATATTATAATATATTGAATTATTTAATGAAATTCAATATATCAATAAAGAATTTATATATAATCTCCGCTAATTCAAATATTAATAAATCTAATTTAATTGAAATTATTTAAAGAATTTAAATTATATTTTTATTTAATTTTTGTTTATTTAATTTAATTTAATTAAAAATTTAATTTGATTAAAAATTTATTTAATTCAAATAATCTTTTATTTTACTATTATTAAATAAATATTTACTTGATAATAATTTTTATTTGGATTAAATAAACTGTATCAATAATTTCTGTATTTACAACAAATAACATTAAATTGACACAAAAATTATTTGGTATAAGTAAATATTTGATAATAATCAAGTAACCGATTATTTGAATAATTTTTTTTTTTTCAGTGTAATACAATTTTTAATGAAAATAATAAGAATAACAACAATGCAATCATAATTAAAAAAAAAAATATTAAAGTTTAAAAAAGTAGATAGGTTTTTTAATCTTTGAATTATTAATTTTAGTTTCTTTTAATTATTAAATAAAATTTTTGAAAAATATTTATTATTTTTGTATTCGAGAATAAATTGATGGTATATATATTTTTTTTTTTTTATGTGTATTGCAGGTGGTTGCTGCAAATGAGGCTGGCGAAAGAGAAAGAGGAAAATTGACAGTCTTCTTTTTTGGAGGGGGCTGAGATACGATGGCCACGTTCGTAGCGACGGGACGTCGGAGATGGGGTTGGGGGTGGGTGTTCTTCGCCGTCACCTTGCTCGTTCTGGCCACCCCCAGTCCCGCCGCCAATCGGAAAGGTAAGCCTTTAATCCCTTATCTCGCCAGGATTCCATTCCTGATCACAGACATCCAAGATCACTGTAAATAGAATAGAAACCACATTTATGTGCCTAACCTTATAGCTTCAATCTGTGGAGTTCTATAAATATATATATATATATATATATATATATATATATATATATATATATATATATATTCCTCCTCCAGTTTAAACATCTTCAATGACCCTTCCACGACCAACCAACTTGTTTGTATAATTAAAGACGATCTCTATTATTATTTACTTAGGATTCTAGCCACGATATCCCTCCTTGCTATTTGCTTATCAAAGTTATCTCTCCACGCAAAATTTGCTCTTCAATTTTTTACAAATTTTTGGGAATTATTATTTTTTAATTATTTATTTATTTTTCATTTATTTAAAGAAATTTAGGTCCTTTAAAAAGGATAAAATTAGTTAATTGAATATTATCAAATAAATATTTACATAAACCAAATAATTTTTATTTGCGCTAAAATCTAAATAACATTTTGTGCTAAGTAAGTTTTTTTTATTTAAAACAAATGAAAAAATTATTATAGGCACTTGTGACAAATATATTTTTATTTGTCTGAAATAAATGTCAATAAAAAAAATTTCTCTGGATGATGCATATTAAAAATTGACTATATACTGGCGTATAGTTTCAAAGAAATTAAAATTCTGTTAAATAATAATTTATGTAGTGGAATTAAAATTCTATATGAGATGCAAAATTTGGTTAATTAAATTTGAAATTAAATAATTTATAATGCACAGTTGAACAAATCTTGAAGATTTTATAAACTTTCTAGACGTTTTATTTTTTTTTGTACTTCTTTTTACTCACGACTGACATTAAATTAATTTTCTGCTTTTAATTCTTTATTCGATTATATTCTGCTTAGTTGTGCGAATTAAAAAAAAAATATTCATCTCCTCTGGATTCTATAATTTTTCTATTCAATTTTAGTATGTTATATTTAGTGATATGTATAAAGCTTTGAAAATTTTTTAATTTACACCTAAATAGTTGAAATACCAACGATAAAATAGAATATGTTCATATAGAATGTTTTTTTTTTTAAATTGGGTTTTTTTTTCTTTCTATAAAATTTACCGTGTTTTGCATGCACTGATATTAAATGTTTGAAATTTTCTCGTTATTATTTCTGTTGTATAAAAGTTTGAAACTAGTGAACATTCACATATAGAGGGGGCGGGGGATTTGTCCTTTTGTTTAAATATTAATTACAAAGCAGTAAAATTTTCCAAGTTAATATTAAATTTGCTCTACAATGGAAAAACATACGTATAAGTGACATGTAAATAGTGTCATTTATGTATGTTTTTCCATTATATAGTATTTAAAATATTTTCTATCATAAAATACTATTTTAATGTTTATAATTTATAAAATGCATTTTCGTATTTTATGTTATAAAAAAAAATATCAAAAATGTATTTTACAGATATTAATTATTTACAATTATTACAATAATACAATATTATTTTTTTAATATTTAAAAATTATCTTTCTAATTTCTTTCGTTACCCAGGTAGAAAAATTAACATTACTAACATTATTAATATTACTAACGTTACTAATGTTACTAACGTTAGTACCTATAAAAAAATTAAGAAAATGTTTCTAAATTGTATTTTTGCAGAAACTTGTCGAAAATCACTTCCACTTTTTTATTTTCATTACCGTTTCCACTTTCACTTCCACTTTTTCTAATTCTCATTCGCACTTCCATTCCTACTTCCACTCTTTCTAATTCTCATTTCCACTTTTTCTAATTTTCATTCCAGAATTGGATGATTAGAAAAATATTTACTCATTCCCATTTTCACTTTTTTATTTTCATTACCACTTCCACTTCCACTTTTTCTAATTCTCATTCGCAATTCCATTCCCACTTTCACTCTTTCTAATTCTCATTTCCATTTTCACTTTTTCTAATTTTCATTCCCATTTTCACTTTTTTATTTTCATTACCACTTCCACTTTCACTTTTTCTAATTTTCATTCCCACTTCTACTCTCATTTTTTCCACTTCTAATTTTCATTAGCTATTGCCATTTCGACTAAAACTCTTTCTAATTTCCATTTACACAACCATTTCCACTTTTTTTAATTACAATTAGAAAAAATTAAAGTGGCAATAAATATAAAAAAGTGGAAGTGAAAATGGGAATGAAAATTGGAACAAGTGGAAATGGAAGTGAAAGTGGGAATGAGAATTAGAAAAAGTGGTAGTGGCAATGAATATAAAAAACTAGAAGTGGAAATAGGAATGGGAATGAAAATTAGAAAAAGTGGAAGTGAAGTGGGAATGAGAATTAGAAAGAGTAGAAGTGAGAATGGAAGTGCGAATGAGAATTAGAAAAAGTATAAGTGGAAATGGGAATGAAAATTATAAAAAGTTTAAGTGGAAGTGAAAGTGGTAATGGGAAAGTAGTGTCAAAGTTTCTGTGAAAATATATTTTAGAAACTCTTAATTTTTTTATAGGTACTAAATTTAGTAACATTAGTAATGCTAGTAACATTAGTGATGTTAGTAACATTAGTAACGTTAGTAACGATAATTTTTTCACCTGCGGTTGCGGCTTATATTTTTTTCAATCTCGATGCAAACAAAAAAAAAATATATAACTAGACAATTCGGCAGATTCGCGATAGAAAAAATTAGATTGTTCAATCTATTTTCGATTTTCAAGGGGTAAGGGAAGGGAGGCAAAAAAAAAGAGAAAAAAACCAGGTAGATGCGGAGAAAAGTTTCGTATCGGGAATATGATAACGAAAGAGGGTTGGCTCGTAGACCGGAAGTGGCTGATAAATTGATTCTCGTCGTCTGCGCACGAGCCACGACCCCTGGGAATTCTCTCTCTCTCTCTCTCTCTCTTTTGGTGCGTCGCTTCGAATACGAAATTCATCCATGCTATTTAATCGAACGTTCCTGATCCTAGTCAGGACGATTATTATCACCAACACGTTGCCATCGCGGCATCGAAAAAGGGAAGGGGAGGTGGAAGCAAATGGCTTTGGATGCAGATTGGAATGCGCTTGAATGCGTTAAAATCCATTTCGAGAGGCTGCACGATTAATTTTTCCACAACTAGACATTGTGAACAAGGTACAAGCGCACGTTTGAAAGTGTCAGCTTAACGTGAGATTTATTGGACGCGAGAATCCGGCTTGCGCTTGAATTATGCACCATTCACCGGACGTCATCCATCCGGGTTTCCTCCTGGTACCTTTTCCCCTGCACCTGTATCTATATTACGCGAATATATATATATATTTATATGATTTTTAATGTCCAAAGATTGATGGTAAATTGCGGTATGTAAAATGAGTTGAGTTTTATATTTTTTGGTTCAAATATAATCGGTTACTTTTGATTATTATCAAATAAATATTTATTTACATCAATTATTATTTGGTGTCAATTAAAAGTTATTTATTATAAATACATAAATTATTGATTCGTTAACAATTTATATAATTCCAATGAAAATTTGTTGATTCTAATAAATATTTATTTGATAATAATCAAGTAATTGCTTATATTTGAACTTTTTGTTGGAAAATAAAATGAGATTTATATATTTGGGAAGTAAGTTTTTAAAAATTGATAAATCCTTATATTTTGTTATTTCGAGAAATTTAAATAAATAACATTTCTTACATAACTACATTGAAAACAAATTTATTTTTATTTTTAAATTAAAAAATTAAATTAAAAAAAATTAAATAAATTTATTTATCAAATAAATATTTATTTCAATTAAATAATTTTTTTTTCAATTAAATAAATTGTATTTCAACCAATAATTTCTGTATTTAAAACAAATACCATTTAATTAGTTTTGATAATTTTTTTTAGCAAAAAAAATTAAAATTTCTAAATCATTTTGGTAAATTTCACATGTTTTTAAATTAAAATTTTAATGTTTAAAAATTTTCTCCTAAATTCAACAGTGACAAATAAATAAGGTCTTTAATAATACGAATTTCTTCACTTTTTTGAAAAATGAATTTATCGACTTTTAAAAACTTGCTCCTCATTTAAAAGAAGATTTAAATTAAAATAGAATTAGAAAAAAAAATATTTGATCATTTAAAAAATTTCATTGAATTGATCATAAATAAGATTCAAATTCAGAGATGAGAAATAAAAAAAAAAAAGAAACAGAAGCTATTTTTCATCAGGATAAAAGTTTACCGGGCGTTTTTTCATTCGTCACAATACAAAAAGAGCGGAAAACTCCTTTCCTTCCCGTGGTTGTCAAGTATTTTGCACCTGGTGAAAGAGAAGAATCGTAAAGGTGCTTTATTCTCACGTGCGCCTTACTCCTTACCTCGTCTGTCAAGATCGTGCGTGGAACTTTAAGCGAAAAGTTTTGTACTTTCAAGCTGTGCTGTAGAGGAGCATCCGCGAGGCAAAAAAATAAAAAAAAAAAAAACTTTCAGTTTTTAGTTGCACAGGTGTAAAAAAAAAAATAAAACTTGGCGTCAGAAATTCGAAGGGAAAAGTTTATATGCAATCGATCAAGATAATTTATATATATATTTGATGTATATGTTAATATATTCAGGAAGCGAAAGTATATAATAGATATAAACCATTTTTGTTCACACGCTTTCAAAAGAGAGCTTTGTGGGATTTTCGACAATGATAGAATTACGCGGAAATTCTCTTAACTACGGACGAGTAACGCGCGCGACCGAATAATTTATAAAGATTCCCTGCGCTATCTGCCTGCGCGAATTTGAATAAAGAACAGAGAGCAGCTACAAACCCCTCTCTCATGAATTTCGTATTCGACTTTAAGTCAAAGTGCATTTCGTATGTATTTGAGTAAATTTAGTTCTTTTTCTTCTTCTTCTTCTTTTTTTTTGCCTATCAAGTATCAGTTTATGTAATTCAATTTCCTATATGTATATATTAAGATATTTTAAATCTTTCGTCATTCGTTCTTGAAATC